ATTTCATAGTTGAACTTTCCTAAGCATGGGTAAGATATGTTTTAAGAAATATTTCAGGTTTGAGTCAGAGTTTCGAATCCAAGTTTTGGGGGGTTTTCTCATGTACTTGTGTTTTAAGTGATTAGAGTTTTGAGCATGATTTCAACTCATTTTTCAATGTGGTTTTCACTAATGAGTTACAAAATCTTTGTGTATCATGATTTCTTTTTCTTTTTTTTTTATGACAAGGGAAACCACAGCCTCTACCCTTTGAGTGAGCATAGGGTAAAACTCTCACTCCTATGCAATAGCTCGGAAACCACATAGGAGAGGTAACCGCACTAGGCAAGCCCGGTGTGACGAGCTCGACCTAGAAGGCAAACCCCTTGCTTTCGCTGGTAAGGGGTTTCGAACTTGAGACCTCCAACATGGAAGTCCCAAGCCCAAACCACTAGCCACCTCGAAGGTGTATCATGATTTCTTACAAAATCCCATATTTGACCCTAGCCTTCGAGATTGACTTTTTGGGTCATTACGAACCAAATTTTCAAAATCAACATTATATGTGTTGTTGTTCAAATTTACTTATGGGTATTCTATATTTGATTACTTGGTGTGGATTATGTGGCTCTACGTGAAGGGAAAGCTCAAGTGCAGGGGTGATTGATTGTTTGTTCGAGACAAGTGGACTTCTTGACCCTTTGTTAAGTATATAGAATCTTGTATTCCTTATTGTATGCATTGGGTAGTAATGGAAGTGGTGAAGGGTTTGATATTTGTGTTAGATAGTCATATTGAATGATTCTAGTGATGAAGAAAGGGAAATAAAAGGTAACTTGATGGTATAATGATGTGTGATGTGGTGTGGATGATTTGAAAGATTATATTGATTCATTATTGATGATGTATCATGATTGTGTTGATATGGATTGTGTATTGATATGGAAATCGTCATCTTCTCATTATTGTGTGGACATGCCTATTTGCATTGGTTCTAAAACACTGTGTTGAGATCTATTTTGATGATTATGCTGAGGGAAAATGGTTTCGGTGATTGATGACTATGACGAGGGAAAATGATTCCAGCGGATACATGAACCTTGTGAGTCCCCCATGGGTCCCGGTCTGATATTTAGCGGATGTGTATCGTTAGGACAGACATGCATTACTATATTTGACATTTCATTTCATTACATTGCACATCATTACCATTTGTAGACCTTGTGAGTGCTTGTTATGGAGCCTGTGGTTGATGAATATGAACTTTTGTATTGGTGACCTATATACATTTAAAGTGTTGCTATTCATGTTTATGTCTATATAAATGTGAATTGTTAGGTTGGACTTATTCTGTGCAGGTTGTAGTTGTGGAGGTTCGGTTGGAGTGTTGGAATACTTGTATTATGTATTGCTTTACCTTGAGTTAGTCGTTTATTTGTTGAGTACCGTGTTGCTTGGTACTTGCTCTCTTGCTTCTACACTTGTGTAGGGTACGAGCTCGGATCATCGTGATTATTCCTTCTTCTCTTTTACATCTGAGGCTTACTATGAAGAGTTGTGAGGTACTTGTTTGTCATATCGGCGGAAACCTCTTATTCTTTAATTATGTTCTTGTTCTGCTCTAGCAACAAAGACATTCATACTTGTACTTCTTTGAATCTATTATAATACTTAGAGGCTTGTAAACATGACACTAGGTTTTGGGGGTATTTTGAGTTATATTATGTTCTGCATGTTTGTGTTATACTTAGTTCCTTATTTTGTTTAAACTTCCACATTCACCTTATCGTATTTGGGTTTAGGCTGACCTGTCTTGGTGGGATAAGACAGGTGCCATCACATCCGATTTTGGGTCGTGACAAAAACACACAACCAAGTATAAAATTATTGTCTTGCCCTCGTCTGGAAGCAAGCATGTTGTCCATGACCTGCTTCCTAACCTCTTTATTACTAGTAGAAAAAATAAAGTATTCCATGAAGTAAATAGAGTTTTTAAGGAATAATCATATAACTTGGCCCATTTTTCAGTTCACACACTTACGTACGGGTGTCAAATATGGCCTGAAAATTGGTGGTCCACCCAATTCACCCAAAATCTTAAGCACAAGATAATTTCATATGGGTTGACCCTCTTAATCTAACCAAACATAACTCATTTTAAAGTGATCTCTAAATTTTGTCAAACTCTAGCACATTTTTAAGATTTACTTTAATTTGGGTTTACTGCTAAAATTTCACTTTGATTTTTAATATGGATCCGGGTCAAGTCTCGAGTTCTAGTCAGCAGTCACGACTGAAGGTTAGGTTGTAGGTTTCGAATCTCGAGGATTGGGTCTCGAATTAAGGTTAGAGTTAGATATCGAATCGTTCTAGACGGTAAGTCCTCGAGTTAGTGTCGAAGGGTCTCGAGGTTTGGGTCTCGAGCCTTGGGTCAGGATCAAGTTTTAGGTGTCATGTCCTAGGTCCTAGGTCAAGGTCGAGGGTTGGGGTTAGATCCTAGGTCTCAAGGCTCGAATCTTGAGTTAGGGTTAGATTTTGAGTCAAGTTAAGAGTCTTGGTTCAGGGTTGAGACTCGAGTAGGAGTCCGAGTAAGAGTTTGGTCCAATTAGATGGTTTCCTCCTAATGAGAATATCCTTAAGAGAAACATTGATGCTTCTTTTGACCTTACTTTGGTAGGAGTGAGTCAGACATGCTAGTCCGTGATTTCATGAAAACTTCATGAGAGGTCACTCTAGTTGATTAGATACGCCGCATGACTCCCTTTGGTTGAGGCTTTGGGTGTTCGAGAAGTACTAAGCTCGCTAAAGGAACATTTTTCATCAATAACAAGTATTGTGGAAGATTTGGACATCAGAAAAATGTTACACAACAACTCTTAGTTTTTTTTTATATTATTATTCGAGATTGTATGGCACTCATGTGTGGCTTTACTTCTATTTCCTCGCTTTTGTTAAAAGACCAGAGAACCAATGTGCCCATTAGCTAGCTCGGGCATTGGTTCTATGTTTGGGTTAAAACCCCATCTTTAATTCATGATCTACTAAAACATTCCTTTGATTAATAATTGATTAGAATGCCTTTTTCAAAAGAAAAAAAAGATATAATGTATCTCATACATCAAAAACCTAATGCATATTCGAGAAAATGAATTATACACCAGTATATCAATGGTAAAACAATTGAATTAATGCCATGTTAAACAATGATGATGGTTGTTCAGAGATTTGCGGATTGTTTTTCCTTGTGGATAGAACCCCATTCTAACATATAGACATACCTTCTAGTGATTCTCCAATTTTTTCACGCGGCTCCACCAGATGTCAGGTTCTCCATGTTGATAGATCACCTTCTTCACGTCCCAGCTAGCTCAACCTTTCTAACATGCGTGAATAACTTTGCATGTCTCATCTCATATAAGGATCGTCACCATTCAAAAGAGGAGAAATCTTCAAAATGATTGACAACAAGACAGGATCAGCTTGAGATCACAGGCCAGTTGCTCCAATAATTTAGAGTGCTGGATGATCTCAGATGATATACATTAGCAATCCATACGGTATATTGTTCATGAACTAATAGGAAGCTTGAAACTTTTTCATATGCAAGTGATCTAATACACAGCGAAGAGGTTTCCACCAGCTAGGTTCATCTGATATTGGCATTAACAGAATTATACAAATGAATGGATCCTTAAGTTTAAGCAGATGAGACCAGAACGTTAATTGAATATTGAAGATGGATTTCAGTCAAGTGGTTCTTTTCTGTTGTGATAAATATCCAAAGTTTACCTCACTAACCCATGGCAGTTGAGTATTCTAAGAAAAGCTTAGTCATACTAAATCATGGAATGTGAAGGACATGGAGGATCGACAGATACAGAGTACACAGAGCATGACCCTTTCCTGATGGCTTCAAGTCAAGCTCCAAAAAATAACATGCAAATGGATGTGTATGTGATTATACTTTCAAAGCATTTAGGGGAATACCTTAAAAGCAGACACATGCTGATGCAGGTGCAATGGAAGTCAGATGATTTTCCATGCTCTCTTTTCATAGATTATATCAACCCAAATGTTCTTGCTACTTTGAGTAGTACAACTATCAAAACTTCGTTTTCCATATTTTGCTTACAACAAAAACTACTCCAGCATGACATGTTCACTGCTTTCTTCTCCTTCATTTCAGAAATTACAGTTAAACTACCAGATAAATGAAGATACCGCTTGGTTTAATTTAAATTTCCAGAGCTCAAAGCAAAGGACTTGAGTCTTGACATTCATAAAAGATTTTGAATTTGTTTCCCCATGGGAATACCTCATAGTTTTTAACCAAAAGTTTCAGGCCATGCTGAGGTGCCACTTTAAGGGCATCCCAACTTCTGAATAGAATTCCAAGATTAACCCTAACCATATTTTGAAAAGAAAGAGTAGTTTATGGAGAAAACAAATCATTTACCAGTATAGAAAAGAATGGCCCCAAATAAGGTAGAAAGGATATAGGAGACTCATAAAGCTGATCCCAACTAGTCCAATATCTAGGCATGATTGACTGTTAGAAATAATTTGAGAAGGATAACAGAGTTGTGGCTCTGACAGAGCACGACTTTTCCTCTTCCAGAAGTATACCATTTTGTGGAGTTCCTCTCAAATGTCATATCCCATGAGCTACAAATAAAAATCACTCACAATGTAATCTTCATTTTTCAAGTTATTCAAAATTATGCAAGAATGTTAGGAACTTCAATGTGACCCTCTTCCAATGGTCAAAGCAACAGCTCCCCTAAACTTGTACCTCAGTTTGGTGGTATTACCCAAAAGAAGCAATTCATTTTCCTCCACCATTGATAGTGTTCTCTTGTCTTTGGAATTAACAGTGCCTTCATTCTGTGATCTGAATTGCCTCTTCTATTGGCATAAACAGAAACATTACTACCAGATCCTTCAACTGCTTCCTTCGGAAGGACTATCAAGCGACTTCACCCAACTGCTGCCAGGATATTTCTTTATCCTTTTTGCTTTCATAGCCGATCTTAGGTTGTTCGCATCGCTGAAATAACCAAAAAGATAAGACAAACTAGATGCAAGTATATAGTTTGATCCGAGATCAGGCTCTATTTTGAGGAGAATCTCCCTTATATTTTCTTCTGCGCAAGGAATATGACCATGATGCTTACAAGCACTAATGAAACTCCTCAATATCACAGAATTAGGCTCTGTAGGCATTCTCCTTATAATATCATAAGCTTCTTCTAATTCTCCAGCACGTCCAAACATATCCACCATGCATCCGTAATGTTCCATAGTTTACCTGATGTATTAAAACTTCCCATTTTTTCAAAATATTCACGGCCCGCATCAACAAAGCCAATATGACTACAAGCATACAAGATTTCAGAAAATGATAAGCTATCTGGCCTAAAGCCAGATTCTTCCATTCTGGCAAACAAGGACACAGCTTCTTCTCCATGTCCATGATCAGCAAGACCAGAAATCATGATGGTCCAGGTCTGCAGATTTTTATCATCCATCGAATTGAATATGCGGAAAGCGTGCTGTATATGACCACATTTTGCATACATGCCCAGGAGGGCTGTTTCCAGCTCAACATGTAGTTCAATACCACTGGTAACAATGTGCAAGTGAATACATTTACCTAATCTGATATTCAGGATACGAGTACATGCCCCCAGCAAGCTAACCAAAGTGACAGAATTTGGCTTTTCATTTGCTAGCTTCATACATTGGAACAGGAGCAGAGCATCTGAAGGCAAGTTACTGATATATCTAGGAAAACATTGACTATTATGACTTTGAAAAGCCAGACAGAAAGAAAAACCTCACAGTAAAATTTAAACAGGAAAAGAAAGCAGGAAAACAATCATATTAATAGACCTCCTACACAAAAGGAGAGGTCAAGGTAGCAAATATTCATTTGCATGCCAAAAAGGATGAAAAGCGAACATAAAAACCCATTAAACTGGTCCCTCTTTATGGTCAGGTACAAACTATTCATGTTCTCTACGTCTATAAAAGAATTGATTCACTATATGAAAAAAAATGATCATATCACATGTAGCGGAACTTGACTTAAGAAATTTATAGAATTCACTTAGGTGACATCCTGAATCACACTTTTATGATATCAAATGAAATTGAATAAGACGGGAAAGTATTGACAAAACGGTTGGAGACCCTGTAGGCAGAAAAATAGAATCGTTGTCATTACTTCAACTATGAGGAGCAATAGCCAAATGTTTGGAGACTTCATCGGGAGAAAGTCAGGCCTGCTTATATTTTGTCTAATGCTCCCTATTCCCTATTTATAAATGCAAAGCCCCTTACACTCTACCATGGGAAAGACAAACTAACCATAGTACCATTATAAAGTTGTTGTCCTTTCAACGTATAATTCGAAGTTTATCTCAAAAGAAACAATTTTGGATTTCTCTTTATTTTTCAGGTCTAAATTGCAGACAGAATTTGACATGAGAGTCCATCCATATGCAATCAGGACAACTAAACAGCAGCAGTGTTAGACTATTAGACCAATTACTGTCCATAATCCACCTTAGCTGTTAATTTTAGAATACTCATGACCATTGGTGCCATGATCTAGCTTCCTCTTTCCAAAAGTTTTGTAGGTAAAAAGTCCAAAGATTGGTTTGCAAAAATTGGGTTTCAAAGCTCAGTGGTTTATTGGATATGAATGTACATAGCGATTCCAGAATTAAAAAAAAAAACTAACATGCTCTGATGTATGCAAAAGTAAACAAATACAGCAGTGAGACCAGCATACCTAAATAGCAGAGGCTGGGATGTTGCACGCATCTCAACCATGAAAGTTTCCTTCTTTGTTAATTCCCCATTTAAAGAGTATCATCGGGACCTTTCCAAGATAAATAACGAAATCTAAACCATGAAATTTTTATTCATTTTTACTCCCTTATTTTTCAGGAGTACATCTCCTTTCCAATTTAAAAAAGAAAATTTCCATCATTGTTAATCCCTGATCTTTTAGGAGTGTATGCACCTTTCGCAATCTTAAAGGCTCAACACCTTATGATCCTTTCAGATATGAACCTAGGCTTGTTAACAATCTATTGCAGTATTGCAGCAAGAAGAAAAAAGAGAAAAAGTTAGACTAGTGAACAAGTTTGGAACTCCTTATTCAAACTAATATATCCAAGTAATAGTAATACTGGTTTCTTCTTATGGTACAAACAAGTATTCACAATCGACATCTGGGATGAATTTTAAAAAGTTCACCAAGAGTATTAGATCACAGATATTGCTCAAGAGAACCATAACTACCATGGCACCAAATTTCTGAAGGATAACGAACAAGGTTACAAGCTAGCATTGTTCATAAAAATTGTGACCTTTATGTGTCAACCTATCAAAAGACGTTTAACCTTACAAATTCCTCCGATACTTGACTTGTCATGCTCAAAATCTACTTCTATTCACTCCCATTATAATAATCATCTTAAACAACTTCCACATAATGTTATAGAATCTCTCAGCCTTCAACACTTCCGGGTTCACAAATCATAAATAATGTACTGATTCCAGAGTAATAAGTAGATACATGAAATATCTTTTAGAAGGAGAAGAGAAACTGTAAATAATAAGACAACAATTACTACTATATGCTTGAATCACAAGTAGTTAAAGTCGGCTATATGATCCCTAATACATAGATTGTGATAATTGGGGTGTGAAATTCGTATAAAAGTAATAATTAATATGTGTTTTGACAAATAACTTAAACAAATATACATACCAATGAACGTAAGCATCCATCATTGAACTCCAAGAAACTATATCCCTCTCAAGCATTTCATCAAACACCTGTCTTGCAAACCTGATCACACCAAATCCAGCATACATTCTCAAAAGGGTATTGTTCACATGTAAATCTGAACCAAAACCCGACTTCACAGCCATCGAATGCAACGATCCCCCTGTTCCAATCATCAAACAATGCCCAGAAACCTTTAGCACAATAGGAAAGGTGAATCTATCTGGTTTTAATCCAATCTTTGAAATTATTTAAAGAGCTTCAGAGACTCTACTTGGGAATATGCTCTCATCATTGTGCTCCATGCGAAGATTGATGGAATAATGGGAGAATTATCAAAATGGTACGGGTGAATTGGAGAGATATTAAGAAGACAATGATATGAATTGGGAGAGACGATACTCGTCGTGATGAATTGCTGTTTTGATGAATAGAGAATGAAGTTGGAGAAGATGAATGATCGATTTTGAACGTTGGAAAAGTGACTCAATTTGGTGGGAATCATTTCCAAACGTTGTAGTTTAAATTGCCTAGACTGGTGGAAACGAAGGGAAGGAAAAGAAACAGAATATAAAAGATAGTACAACAAATTAATTTATAAAGTATAAGCACAATTTTCAGTAACCACTTAGGGAAAATTTCAGATATATGATTAAGCTCATATATAAAACTAGGAAAAGGAACCCCTACATTACTGTTTTGGTCCATTAATCTTCAATGGTGTAGTAAATATTGACGGTATGTATAAATTAAATATTATAAGCTAGAATAATTTTTTTTGGTATTCCTACAAAGATTCTTTTATTTATTTGTTTAATTTTAATTTATTCTAATCTTCTTTGGTACTCCAACAAAGATTCTTTTATTTATTTATTTAATTTTAATTTATTCTTAAACTAAATAATTTTTTTGAAATTTCAGATAAATCATTACTGTGAAGGCTTGAATCGTTTTGTTCATTATCCTTCAAGATTTCTTTTTATTATTTCAACATTGTATATATTTTTTTTCTTCACAAAAGTTAATTCTTTTGTTCTTATGTAATAATTGTGAATAATGAAATCAATTTTGAGAATTAGGAAATTCCACAATTTTTGTTTATGTTTACTTTTTAGAATAATTTAGAAATATTAACTAAGATATAGATAAATTTAAAGGAGTATTTTTACTTAATACATATAAATAGTTTGAGTTTAATTCATTTGAATACTTTATATTCTTTGCGTAATTGAGAATATGTATCTTTCAATCTATTCATTTTTATATAAATAATTTGTAAAATTGTCCGCGCTTCGCGCAGCTATAAGAAATATTTACAAGACAATAGTATATAATATTTAGGCCAAACACATATACAACCCCTCAAACTTGCCCTCATTTTTCATTTTGGCACTCCAACTTAGCCTTGTTCCATTTTAACCCTTAAACTCTATTTTTTCTGTACCATTTAAACACTTATACTAATTTTTATGATTGTTTTTATTTATGTTCTTCAATTGCAATTTCTTATTTTTAAAAATAGACGTGTGCCTGTTAATTTTCGTAAAAAATTAACATTTGCGAACGAACATAAAAAATTTCAAACAATAATATTATTTTTTGAGATTTCTCTGTATTTTTGCATGAAAATAAATTGACGAAAGTTCTTTGAATTTCCTTCTTAAACATTCAATTAAATTAAATAACACTACTTATTTATTTTTTTCTTATCATCTAGTCTATCTAGATTTAACGCAAATACTCACTTTTAATTTTTAATATAAATCAATACGAATAAAAAAACCCATCTTCAATAAGACTCGACTGACTTTGTTAATAACACTACTAAAAAAAGACTCTTGTTCATTGCTAATAACACTACTAAACAATGTTAAAACTCGACTGACTTTGTTAGGTTGTCGGTGATTTTAAATAAAGAAAACCAACACAATTTCGTCTGTTATTTTTCAATACGAATAAACTGACACATGTCGATTTAAAATAAGAAGTTGCAATTGAAGAATATATATAAAAATAAAGAAATCATAAAAATAGTATTTCGTGTTAAAATGGTACATAAAAAATGGAGTTTAAGGGTTAAAATGGAACAAGGCTAAGATAAAGTGTCAAAATGAAAAATGCGGACAAGTTAGAGGGTTGTATATGTGTTTGGCCTAATATTTATATTCCGGTTAGTATTAGATATATAGATAATGTTGATATTTCTCTTCATTTGCGACATTATAGATTTTCTCATCTTTTTTTAAACATATAGTAAAATATATTTTTAAAAATGCATTTCTAAGTGCAAACTATTCATAAGTATATAGTAGAATTAATCATTTACCGTGGCGAAGTAGATTGAACAAAAGATCATATTTTGAAATAACAATATATTGTATTATGTTGAAAATATTTTTTATGTTTTCATTTCCTCTATCTTTTATAGAAGTACTGATTCTCTAAACAAATTCCAATTTCTTAAAAAAAAATGAAGTGTGCTTTATTATGTCTTTATTATTACATTTGTCTATTATAATTTTTTTAACATAATTAAATAGTTACAAATATTATGAAACATGTAAAAATTATGAATAATATTTAAGAGTAGAAATTACAAGTGAAATGAAAAGACATGAGTCATGAATTTTTTTAGACACTAAATGTATTAATAATTGTGCATTGATTTTATTTGTAAAAATAAATAAATGTGAAAATCAAGAGTGAAAATACAAAAATGAACTAAAAAATAAAATAATTGGTGACTACATCAAAATTGTAAACATATTTTTTTTTAAACAGTGACAACAATTACATATTGCTACATACCAAAGAAAATGATATCATAGAATTATTTCTTTTTTAATTTTATTTTTTTCAAGCATAATAAAAATGAAGCTCTTGATCATCATAAAAAAAAATTTGTTGCATTGAGATAATTATATTAACTATGCTTCATAACAAAAAAAATAGTAGAATAGTAAAGAACTAAATGAGTAGCATTGTCAATACATGTAGCTATATTATTTGTTTTAAAAAATTCTAACAAAAATAACTAAGTTACTAATACAACTCAAAGTAAAATATAATCTCTATTTATCCTTTTTTTTTTAAAAATTTCTATCATCTTCATTTGCAAGTAGATCTGCCACCATATTTTGCTCCATATAACAAACTCTTTATCATATGCTAACCAATTGAATAAAAACAAACATAATTATGAAATAAAATATTTCTTACCTTCATGTACTTCTTTTTTGTTACATGTTAGTTAATTCACAAACTAATATGAAGAAGAAGAGAAAATGTATTCTTGAATATGAATCTTTATGAAACTAAATATAAATTTATATAGGCAAAATAGAGGAAATGAAAAGAAAGACTTGAGAATAAATATTCTTACCTTCATTTACTTCTTTTTTGTTACAAATCAATATGATGAAGAAGAGAAAAGATAATCTTGAATGTGAATCTCATGAAACAAAATATGAATTTATATAGGCAAAATAGAGGAATACCATAAGACATCATAAACTTAAAAATTACAATTTGGAGGTTATGAACGTGAAAATTATTGGAGTCATGATTATTATTAAAAGTAAAAATTAAAGAGGTGTAAGTCATGGGTAATAAAAAGAATATGAAGAGTTTTTGTTGTATATGTTCTCATTAATAAAATACTTATTTGTAACAAATTAAATAATTTACTTTTGTAATACAATAACAAATTTAAATTTAAAAAAAATGCCAAAAAAGGAGGAAAAAAGAAAAAATACAAATGGACACCATAGAGAGATGTCACATCACCTTGTCTATGTTTCTCCTTTATTATATGTATAGATTAAGAGCCCGTTTGGATTGACTTAAAAAAAGTAACTTTTAAAAAGTAACTTTTTAAAGTGCTGGAACTTATTTTTAAAATAAGTAGTTACGAGTATGTGTTTGGATAAAAGTGCTGCAGTTGAAAAAAAAGTTGTTGATGTGTTTGGCAAATAAGTGCTGGTAAACACTTTTTTTTATCAAAATGTCTGAAATACCCTTTAAGTTGTTAACATGATAAAAAGTTGATTAATTTAAGGTTTTTATACTTAAAAAAAAAATTAAAACAAAATTAATTTATGTTTTACATCCATAAGTAATAATATTTTTCTATCATTCACATATTTCTTTACCACCTTATAAGAGGAATATAAATTCATATTTCAGAAATAATAATAATAATAATAATAAAATAAAAAATAAAATAAAATAATAATAAAATAATAAATAATAAAATAATAATAGTAATAGTAATAGTAATAATAATAATAATAATAATAATAATAATAATAATAATAGTAATAGTAATAGTAATACTAATAATAATAATAATAATAATAATAATAATAATAATAATAATAATAATAGTAATAGTAATAGTAATAATAATTATTATAATAATAATACACATAATAATAATAATAATAGTAATAGTAATAATAATAACAATATTTATTATAATTATAATTATAATTATAATTATTATAATAATAATAAAATAATAATAATAATAATAATAGTAATAGTAATAGTAATAATAATAATAATAATAATAATAATAATAATAATAATAGTAATAGTAATAGTAATAATAATAATAATAATAATAATAATAGTAATAATAATAATAATAATAATAATAATAATAATAATAATAATAATAATAGTAATAATAATAATAATAATAGTAATAGTAATAGTAATAATAATAATAATAATAATAATAATAATAATAATAATAATAATAGTAATAGTAATAGTAATAATAATTATTATTATAATAATACACATAATAATAATAATAATAATAGTAATAGTAATAATAATAATAATAATATTTATTATTATTATAATTATAATTATAATTATTATAATAATAATAAAATAATAATACTAATAATAATAATAATAGTAATAGTAATAGTAATAATAATAATAATAATACACATAATAATAATAATATAATAATAATAATAATTATAATTATTATTATTATAATAATAATAATAATTATAATTATTATTATTATAATAATAATAAACATAATAATAATAATAATAATAATAATAATAATAATAATAATAATAATAATAGTAATAGTAATAATAATAATAATAATAATAATAATAATAGTAATAGTAATAATAATAATAATAATAATAATAATAATAATAATAATAATAATAATAATAATAATAATAATAATTCAATATGGGCAATT